TTTATTTATTTCAAGACAGAGTCTTGCTCTGTTGCCCAGGCTGGAGTGCAGTGGAGTCATCGAAGCTCACAGCAATCTCAAACTCTTGGTCTCAAGTGATCCTCCTGTCTCAGCCTCCTGAGTAGCTGGGACTATAGGTGTACATCACTGTGCTCCACTAATTTTTCTATTTTTGGTAGAGATAGAGTCTTGCTCTTGTTCAGGTTGGTTTCCAACTCCTCAGCTCAAGCAAGCCTCCTGCCTCAGCTTCCCAGAGTACTATGATTACAAGCATGAGCCCCTGGCCCAAATGTAGGTGTTTAGATTGTAGGTGTACATACACAGGTGTCTATAGACAGTGAGTACAAGTGTACGTACTTAGTATTTACTGGGGATCCAGTGTCCATAGATATTCATCTTCTGCATACCCTGCATACATCCCCTTTGTTTTTTGTTTTTTGTTTTTGGCAGGGCTGGGTTTGAACCCACCACCTCCAGTATATGGGACCAGCGCCTTACTCCTTTAAGCCACAGGTGCTGCCCCATACATCCCCTTTGGAGGAAAATTGTCCTGGACATCAAGGACTCAATTACCTGACTTGGCTACAGCTAAATGAGCCTGACATGGATATGTAGCTCCATGGTGGCCTGTCCATTCACTGGCCATGGCTTTTGACATGGCTGGCTCTAAGAAATGAGTTGTGTCAATTAAATTACCTTGGGTATCTTTATTAGAAGGCCCTGAAGGCAGTTGGCAGGTAATATTGAAAAAGAGAATAAGGGGGACAGGACACAATTATAAGAGATATTTTATCTAACAAACGCAATCACTGTAACCTGGTTCTTTGTACCCTCAATGAATCCCCAACAATTAAAAAAAGAGAGAGAGAATAGAGGCTGGGTGCAGTGGCTCACACCTGTAATCCTAGCACTGTGGATGGCCAACAAGAGCGTTTGAATTCAAGAATTTGAGGTGGCTTGAGTTTAGGACTTTGAGACCAGTCTGAGCATGAATGAGATCCTGTGTTTACAAAAAAATAGAAAAATTAGGCTCGGCACCCATAGCACAGTGGTTATGGTGCCAGCCACAAACACCAAGGCTGGAGGGTTTGAACCTGACCCGGGCCAGCTAAACAACGACAACTGTAATAAAAAATAGCCAGGCATTGTGGTGGGCACCTGTAGTTCCAGCTACTTGGGAGGCTGAGGCAAGAGAATCACTGAAGCCTAAGAGTTTGAGGTTGCTGTG